GCAATGTGGAGGCTGGGGGTCCAATTGACTCAGTATTGGAAAGGGGGCAGCAAAGGGGGCTGGGGGGGCAATTAAGGTCTCAGCATTGGGGAGGGGGCTGCAATGGGGAGTCTGGGGGTCCAATTGACTCAGTATTGGGGAGGGGGCAGCAAAGGGGGCTGGAGGGCCAATTAAGGACAGTGTTGGGGAGGGGGCTGCAATGTGGAGTCTGGGGGTCCAATTTACTCAGTATTTGGGAGGGGGACAGTAAGGGAAAGCTGGGGGGGCGCAGAGGAATAACGAGAAGCAATTTTGTTTGACCAAATGGGATTAGACACACAAGGAATTTGTCTCTGTTTGCATTAGCTTTCAACATACATGCAAAGCAACAGTAATAATCATAATACAATACCCAAAACAGCAGGTAGTAGAGAAGATGAGAAGGACAATAATAATACTACAGCCATACAACAGGAGTAAATACAGGTAATTCTCAACTTACAACAGTTCAAAGTTACAACGGCACCAAAAAAGAGAGAGCTCTGGCCGTTTTTCACAATTAATGACTTTTGCAACATCCCCACGATCGTGTGGTCAAAATTCAGCGGCTTGGCCACTGGTTCAGACTTACGACCGTCGCTGTGTCCCAAGGTCAGGGGATCGACCAACTGGCCAGCAAAGTCCATGGGGAAATCCAGATTTCACTTAACAACCCGGTTAATTTAATTTATCAGCTGCAGTGATTTCCTTAACAGCTGCGGCAAGGGAGGACCTTAACTCCTTAACCAGTGCCTCGCTTAGCAACTGAAATTTTGGGCTCCATTGTGGTCATAAGTTGAGGACTACCTGTATACATAAGGAGGCAGTGTGGGAATTAGGTGTTCAGCAGAAGGATGGCAGGAGGGCGGAGGGGGGGAAATGTCCCCATGTCTAGTTGTTTTGGCACACAATTTTCTGACAGAACAATTAGCCAGTGGAACAGCCTGCCTCCAGAAGCGGTGAACGCTTCAACGCTGGAAGTTTTTAAGAAGAGACTGGACAGCCATTTGTCTGAAATGGGATAGGGTTTCCTGCCTGAGCAGGGTTTGGACTAGATGACCTCCAAGGTCCTTCCAACTTTATTATTATTGTTGTTGTTACAATTATTATTTCTTTCCAACAATGACGCTGCTTCTCTCCTTCTCTTGCCGGCGGCTTCCAGGGGGACGGACTATGCCTTTAACCTCCCTGTTGTCCTGAAAGAGACAACATGATGGAATTCCCCGATCACAGCAAGAACTTACTCCGAAAACTTTGGGAACAGCAACACGAGGGTTTCCTTTGTGACTGCACCGTCCTGGTGGGCAGCACCCAGTTCCTGGCCCACCAGGCCGTCCTCGCCTCCTGCAGTGCCTTTTTCCAGATGTTCTACAAGGAACGGCTGGATAAGCGAGACTTGGTCTGCATCAACAGCGAGATTGTCACCGCCCCGGCCTTTGGGCTCCTGCTTGAGTTCATGTACAAAGGCAGCCTCTCCTTCGCCGACATGCCGGTGGAAGACATTTTAGCTGCCGCCAGTTACCTGCACATGAACGACATCGTCAAGGTGTGCAAGAAAAAGCTGCAAGCCCGGGCCTTGGCCGAAGCCGACAGCACGAAGAAGGAGGAGGAAGGTCTGCTGCCAGCCCCCGAAAACCAGCCTGTGTCCTTGCCCCCGCCTCACTCTTGCGACCTCGAGAAAAACAACAAAAAAGAAGAATGGAACGCCAGACAGAAAGTGCCTCTGGAGGAATTGTCGGCCTCCAGGTCAGACGTCGCAGACACCACGCAACCAGGAATGGAGGCTCCGTCATCTGCTCGGCCTCGCCTGCAACCCATGGTGGACATTTCTCTCTCCAGCCCGAGCAGTTCCACCGAAACTCTGCTGTGCAGCTCCTTCCCTGCCGGAAACAGAGGAGCCGAGGGGAGATCCGGCTTGGACCCTCCTCCAGAGAGGTACGGAGAGCAGCGAGTTGCGCACAAGGCGTCCACAAATCAGTCCATCAAGGTCAAAGTGGAAGCTATCGTGATTTCTGATGAGGAACCGGACGGGGTTGAACAACTGGAGATCCCTCCTGTTTCGGAGCTGAGGCTAGAAAGCCTCTTTCTGAAATCTGGTGGGGAGGTAGGCTCGGGGGGAGGCTGCGGGCATCACCCGGATGCTTTTGAAGAGCCTGGAGGGATGGAAGAGGTCTCTTCGGAGAGCAGCTTCCTGCCCCAAGAAAATGCGCCGTACCCCCTGATCCACATGCCTGGAAGCGGGACTTTTTCCACCCTGGCAACTCCTCCGTTGCATGAACAGATATACTTGCAGGATTACGATTCCCACTCCAATTTTAGCCTCTTTACCGAGGACGTCCCCACCTGCAAGACCTGCGGGAAAACGTTTTCCTGCTCCTACACGCTCCGGCGCCACGCGACCGTCCACACCCGGGAACGGCCATACGAATGTCGCTATTGCATGCGGAGTTACACTCAATCCGGAGACCTTTACCGGCACATCCGGAAGGCTCACAACGAGGATCTGGCCGTGAAACGGTGCAAACACGACGTGGAAAATCCTTCCTAGGACTCGCGGTCGGTTCCCCAAACCAGGACCCCAATTCTCCGGTTATCTCATTCCTGGCAGAAGCCACAACTGGTGTCCAGTTTTCCCATTCCTCCTCAGCCAGGTTGCTCTGCCTGACATTTTATCCAAACTGTCCTGTTTGTACTGCGGCAAAAATTTACGGTTCAGTTTCTCCTTATTGGGGAGTTTTTGCACCAATGCAGAGGCGACTCCGGCCGTTCCCTGTGTCCGATTTGAAAAGAAACCACTGTAAACCATCCTTAGATTGTTTGTGTGTTTGTGGGTCAAACTGCCGATAATAGCGAGTCTTCTGGGTTTGTTTTAGCTCTCCAAGAGAGCAGCCTTGCTGATTTGGGGGTGTCTCTCTCCATGCCGGTGACAATAAAGAATTTTATTTGCGGGCAACGGGAGATGAATGGTGCTCTGCTTGCCTGGGGGCACCAGGATCTGTTATTGGGCAAGCCCGATTGCCAGAAAAGTACAGAATAATCCACAACGCTGCCTAAAGTGAGCGTGGGGCCAATGGCACACCTGGATGTTCCGATCTCGCGGACAAGGAACAGGTCCGAGAGCTACACCCACTCCAATTGGGGAGGGGGCACCCTAGAACTCTCCTTCCCCACCTCCGAGCGATGTTCTTTTTCTTCCCCGTTTTGCAGCAACCACTGCCATCAGCCCCGTTGCGAAACTCTCAACCTCTTTGTAAGTAGTTCCGCGGCAGCCTTATTTGCTCAAAATGCATATTCCGCAGTAAAAAGAACAAAGATACGTGGAAAAAAAATAAGCATCTGAATTTTTGTGCTGCATGGGGACTTTTTTGTCCGCCTTCAATGGCACGCTTATCCCATTGAAATGTGTTTAGTTTCAGTTGTATGAGGATGTTGGGGGGGGGGGTGTCTCGGCCTTCCCTGAGTTTGGTGATTTTCTTGCAGATGTTTCATGAGCCACACCAGGGAACATCATCAGTGCTAGGAAAGAGTGGAGTTTGCGCTGTGTGAGACTGGTAATGTTCCCTAGTTGGGTCATGAAACGTCTGCAAGAAAACCAAGCTGAGAGAGCATCAGGGACACCACAGTCCTCCTCCTGCTCTTCCTTCTCCTTTCCACAAACCCCACCTCCTCCTAGCACTGATGATGTTCCCTAGTTGGGTCATGAAATGTCTGCAAGAAAACCACCAAACTCAAGAGATTTTAGTAGTGTATGGACATCCAATAGAGTAACTGCCAAAGAACCTACAGTCGTCGTCCTCCTCCTCATGAACCCCACTCCCTTCTAGAACTGATGATGTTCCCAAGATGGGTCATGAAACGTCTGCAAGAAAATCACCCAGCTCAGAGAGCCTCAAGGACCCCTCATTTAAACCCCAAGCTACAAATAACACCCCTTTTTACGTCCTTTCTTGCCACAGTTGTTTAGAGAACGACTGCACTTGTTAAATTAGTTACACGGTCGTTAAGCGAATCCGGCTTCCCCATGGACTTGTCAGGTCACAAAAGGGGATCGTGTGACCCCGGGACGCTGCAACTGTCATAAATATGAATCCATTGCCAAGTGTTCAAATGTTTTATCGTGTGACCATGGGGATGCAATGGTCCTAAGCTTAAAAAACAGTCCTACTCCGTTTTTTTTAGTGCCATTGCAACTTTGAAGGGTCACTAAATGAACCGTTGTTGTACGTCAAGGACTACCTCTATTTTCTTGGGAGGAAGGGCGGCTAACCAAATGATATCCCCCCTCCCCCCCCCTTTTTTTTTAACCCTCGGTACCTGTTGAGCTGCTACCTGGGAGAAATCTCAGCCCTTTGTTGGAGCCGAAATTAAGCCCGTTTTTCAGAAATAGGAATCGGGTGAGGGTCACTGAAAAGCCTGAAAACTGAATTTTCCCTGGTAAGTCTTGAAAAAGGAGGAAGCGATTATGGTTTTAGACAGCCTCGCATCGATCACCACACTGGCTGAGTCAAAAGGTGTAGATTTAAAACAAGGGACCTGTGTACGTTCACCCTATGAACAAGTTCACCTTGTAAGCCAACGTGGTACCCGTTTTGCTGACATCCTTGTGAATCAGAAATCTTTCCCTTTTTTCCCTTCTTCGGCCACTTGCACTTCCAATTTCTAATTTTCATTCTGCTTGTGGAAACCTGGCTGAAAACACACAGCCACTGAGCAAGACCGAGGTCAAAACCAAGATTTAGCATCTTACCCAGTTAAGGAAGCCTCCCCCCTCCCTAATTTTAAGCTAAGAGTTTGATTTGGAGCAGGGGGGGGGGAAGTCTCCTTATTAGGACTGTTCTAGAGGACACTTAAGAAAAACAATTTCCTCCCCCCTTTCACTCCGAAATTAGAAGCAAAAGAAGAAAGAAGTCTTTTTTTTATGCTCCTCAAAGTGAACGAGCCGAGAAAAACAAGCTATGAAATACTCAAAATGAATTGTGACATTTTATTTTATTTTTTTTGCCCCTTTTCCAGGGGCTGGCTGACCACGCGCAGTTTACTTTTGATTTTGACTGAAGCCATTTCCGACATTTTCCTTGGCAAATTTTTAAACATTTTCCATTTAAATTCATGAGTAGCAATGAAACATTTTCCGTGGCAAATTTTTAAACATTTTCCATTTAAATTCATGAGTGAGCAATGGACGCAGTTTTTCCCCTCCCGGCAAAGCCTTTGCTGATCTGACCCACACCAGCGTGGTTGTGCGATTCCTTCGGCGGTGCCCGGAGTTAGTCCTCCGGTTCACACAGCTTTTGAGTGTCGAGTTCCCTCCGCCGTTGAGCGGAGCTGAATTACTACAAGTCCCAGCAGCCTGAGCTGGTACGGCCAAGGGAATGGGATGCTGGGACTTTCCACCTAACACCCTTTCTTAAGCTTGGCCACCTTGAAGATGGGTGGACTTTGAATTCCCAGAATTCCCCAGCCAGGAGGATTCTGGGAGTTGAAGTCCACCCATCTTTTTGTGGCTAAGCTGGAAAGATCCCAAAATTGTCTTCGTTTTTTTGGGGGGGGGGATAAAAAAACAAGGTTTGGGGATTGGACATTGGGAATAGGAGAGGGCTCAGCCTTCACCCCCAAACTGAAACAGGGTGCAGGAGAACCTGGAACACAAGACATTTATCCCAAAACCGGCAGAGGAAGTGAATGAAGTAGCCAGATTCTTAGTGAGGGATCTTTTGAAGACCACCGGGCAGAAGACAATTGCGCCGGGTGGTTCCTGCAACTCAGGAACCCCAAATCATCTTCCCTCAAATCAGTTCTGCGCAACGGGGAAAACGAGAAGTTCTCCACGTTTAGAAACACGTTCCGAAGACCGGAATAAAACGGGTGGCCAGGATGGAGAACGAAAGACTCCCTCCCTGTCCATCTTCTCAAAGAGGACTTGATGGGCTTGGAGGCCCTCAACCGAACATCTCCTGGGAGGCGTACGTCATGTAAAGGAAGCCGTCCTCGTCTTTGTACGTGGTGTAGACCTCGCCCATGGTGGCGGACATGTTCACGAGGCTGTGGTTACTGTCCAGGAGGAAGTAGAACGCCTGCGTGCACCTCAGGCCCATCCGGTTACTGGGGGGAGAAGAAGGACAAGTCAAATTTTTGAGATCTCAAGCTGCTGGACGCGGATTGTGTACCCGTGTGGGTGTGCTTGCAATTTCCAAAGTTTCCTGCGATTGTGCAGTTGCAAGGGTTGTCCAAGCTGGGCTCAGGTGAGACTAGAACTCACCGTCGCCTGGCGATTGGCCCAAAGTCGCCCAGCCAGCTTTCAGGCCTAAGGCGGGACTAGAACTCACCGTCTCCTGGCGATTGGTCCAAAGTCACCTAGCCGGCTTTTGTATCTACCGTGGGACTAGAACTCACCGTCTCCTGGCGATTGGCCCAAAGTCACCCAGCCAGCTTTTATGTCTAAGGCAGGACTAGAACTCACCGTCTCCTGGCGATTGGCCCAAAGTCACCTAGCAGTCTTTCCTGCCTAAGGTGGGACTAGAACTCACGGTCTCCTGGTGATTGGCCCAAAGAGCATCAGTGTAAGCCTAGGCAAACCCAAGATTTTGCTTTATTTGGGGTGCTGGAGCTGAGCCATTTCCCAGTTTTCATAACATCATCCTAATTTATGTATTTTGGCCCTTTTCTGCATAAACGTGATAGAATTTTTGGCCTCCTACAGAAAAAAACAAAAAACCTGATCAAACCAGTCTTGATAAATGCTTGCAGGAACAGGTTGCTTTTCACGCAGCTTCTCCATAAATCTTTTTTATTGATTGATTTATTTTAAAGCAGCCTATCGGGTTAAAATAGTCGAGGAAACCGGTTTGATTGGAAAAAAAAATGTTCACTCCAACTTTCTCTCCCTGGTCCTGTTTTAAACTGCTCATCCTGCCCAAGGAGCAGATGCACAAAGACTGCCATAGAATCGTGAGGTTGCAAAGGGACCTAGAGGTCATCTAGACCAACCCCAATCAAAATGGGGTTATTCTGCCTGTAGAGCCACCTTGTACTTCAATCCCATCGGTGATGGCCCTCATAAAGTGGTTTTGCTTGCTCTTGGGTGGGGGGGAGGGGAATTCCAACACCTCCTTGGTAATCACGATTTAATGGCTTGGTTTTTCAAATGCTAATCTAGTTAATTGTGGGTTCATTTAAACCCCATTTAAAACGTCTTTGTCTGTTGAACACTAAAATCCTGGAAGGGCCCATTTCTTTCCTGTCGGAGATGGAATTCCACCCCCCATCCTTGAATTAGTTTCCCACCCCATCCTTGAGTTAGTTTGACACCGGTTTGAAATGCTCACCGAATGATGGCTACAAGCTGGCCCATGGTGAACTCTTGAGGGACTAGAAACTTCACCTTGTGTAAAGCCGGCAATATTTTCTCCTTCGCATAGCGTTCCAGGATCACCTGCAATTAACCAAGAGCGGAATTTTGAGAAGCTGGAAAGGATAAGTGTGCACTTTAACCCGGGGTTTGTGCGTATTTGTGCCAGCATGCAAACACGTGTGTGTTTTAACGTATGCATACAAAGCAAGAGGGAGGTTAAAACGGATTCCTCACCCCTCAAGAAACAGCAGAAGCAAAAGAAAAAGGGGGAAAAAAAAGACCCAAGTCCACTCCCATTGTGCAACGGTCAAAGTGCAAGAAATTCACAACACACTTACCGGCAATTTATACGGAAATCTGATCCGGATTGCAGCCACTTCGTTCTTCCTGGAAGCTAAAATAATTTTTTTTTTCAAAAATTGGAAAGAATTACGATGGATTGCGGATGGACATTCCCAGGTTTAATTCTCAGAGACTGGGTTTCCTGCCCCGGCGAGTTCACACATCACACTAAGCCTCAGTTTAACCGTGGTTTGTGAAAGGAATCCCGATCAGCAAAATCCACTTCCCACTAAGCCGTAAAGGGGGACTTTGCAGCACACAAGACCTGTGTTTACAACTCAAAAAAACTTAGAAAACAGAGTTGTTTAGTTAGGGATTAGGCCTGTCTCACACACGCAACCCCAAAATGGGTGACTCTAGTCAACCACCCTTTCCTAAAACCAAACCATCTCTGTCAAAGGTGGTTTAATTGTGGCTTAGGGCAACATCTAAAGTTTGTCTGTCTGCAGGGGAATGGCTTCTGGTCTTTTAGCAGCCTTAAACCCAAGTCAGCAAAGTTATGTTGGCTGGGAACGATGGGATCTGTAATACCTCCCTCTCTAGAGAGGTTGGAAAGGTAGTTAGAGCCCCTAAATGGAGTTTCCTGCATTTTTACAGTAGGAACACAAACTAACCATTCACATTTTATGCTAGGATATAATTTTCTCTCTCTCTCTCTTGGGACCCCTTTTAAAAATTACAGAGAACCCCAAAGTATTTTTGGTTTGTATGGATATTTGTTAATATTTATTAAAATGGATGCATTTGCTGCTGCTATTACGGCTTCTCCCAATTATATGATAGGGTTTTTTAAATAAACGTATTTTCCCATGTAGGCTAGCAAATAATTTTAATTTCAGAGACCCCTAAGAGGGGTCTTGGGGGACTCCCCCAAGGGTCCTAGGACCACAAACACCGACCTAGGTTATGTCTATCCGGAAAACTGAATTAACCGAATCCACTCGGGTTTACTTAACCAGGAGAAACGTACCTATCGTGGGAACGCAACCTGCTCATTAACCACAGTACAGCTCTAATAATGAAGAAGATAACCCTAAAAAAGGGGGGGGGGGTTGAATTGCCTCCTTGGGCCAACAGGGGGCGGTAGCAATGGGGGGGAGGAGAACACTGCAAGCGTTTACATGGGGCAGCAGAGAAACGGGGATCCCTTACCAAACGGTTTTCGATGTTTAAAGGGAGGAAAGGAGGCCATCGGGAGATCAAACCAAATGGACAAAGGAAGCGGCAGACGAGAAGGAGGAGGGCGCGCCGAGATCCCAAGACGGCTCTGCCGCCACTCGCCCGCCCGGACCTTAAATAGCGCAAGGTGCGCACATTTTTCCCACGCCGCTCTCAGGATCGGGCCCGCTTCTGCTTCCGGGGGCGGCGGGGTGGGGGCGGTGGGGGAGAGAGAAAAGGGTGGATCCAGGTCAGGGATGGAGCTCCAGAGGCGTTTTCCCACCCACCCCTGGAATTTAACCCAATCTGGGGAAGGCTGGTAGGAGTTTCGCGGGTCCACGGGTCGTGGGAACTCTCCGCCACTAGGTGTCGAATGGGAGAGACGAGATTTGTTGGCGGCTTGGGAGGTGGGGGGGTGTTTCAAAGGTCTTCCACCCGCCCTGTAGGGAAGGAGAATCCTAACCGACTTTGCAAACCTGGCGCTTTTTTTTGTTTTTGGGGTTTTTTTGCGCAAGATGAAGCGTTCTAGTGATAAACGCGTCGTGTGAACAGGGGCAGCAAGACCAATCTCGCCAGTTTCTGCCTTTCCTCCCCGTCCTTCTCCTTTTCTCGCTTCTACGGGCCTTATAATTTAATTTGTAAGTCCCCCCACCCCCCGGGCGGGGAAATTTTCGATTTATCTCTCCTTTGGCTACATTTAACGCGCAGCTCTTCCACTCTCTTTTTTGTTTGTTTGCCAGGTTTCTGCTTTTTTTTCTCCCTCTTCCCACCCCGTCTGTTTTTCCTCCTGCCCTGTTTCTTGTTTTTGTTTTGATAATAAATCAGGCATCAGACTTCTAATCTTCTCTCCAACGTAATAAGCCTTAATTTCGGGCGAACGCGTGTCTCTGTGCTGGCGTCTATCACTAAACCCTATCACTAATGTATCCTTTAAAAAAAAAAGAAATACACCTGTTGGTCCATCCTATTGGCTAGGCTAGGGCAACCTCTGTTGGTTTCCCGGTGCTTAAAACTTAAAAAAAAAAACCAACCCTCTCTCTTGTGTTTTTTTATAATAATAATAATAATAATAATAATAATAATAATAATAATAATAATAATAATACAGTCATAAACGTAGGTTGCCACCCTGGTTGAGTTACCTGGCGCCCGCCTTCCTTGCGGAGCGCGCAACTTTTTGCAAAGTTTTTTCCCCCCCTCCTTTGGTTGGGCTTTGTGCGGGGGGGGGGAGAATATCTCCCGGTGGGTTGGGCCAATCAGGAGCCGGCGACGCGGGTGGGAGGGGAAGGGGCGGGGCCCCCCCCAAAAGGGAGGGGAAGAGCCCTGTGTGCACGTGACGCGTTCAAACCTTTCTCCTTTGTCTGAACTGCGCTCCGCTGCGCCCTGGAGCTTCGGCGCGGCTGAAGTTCTCCTGGCTGGGGACGAAGCAACCTCGTAAACCCCCCCATCTGGGCCCCTCTGCCCCTCTCCTGGACCCCCCCCTTGGGGCTTAACCCCCCCACACACACCTGCCTTCCCCACCTGCTGCTCCCCAGCTCCGGGCACCTGGGCACCTCCCCAGCCAGCCAGCCAGCCAGCCAGCCACCTCTCCAAAGGCGCACGATCTTGGGGTCTCTTGCGCCCCGTCCTGGGGTCCCCATGGCCAGCCGCCGGGCCGTGCCCCCCTCGCTCTGGTCCGGCCACGAGCGACTGCGCATCGGTGAGCGTCTCCAAGCCAGCCTGGCCGGTCTTTGGGAACTGGATCTCTTGCGCGAAATGCAGAAAGCCAACGTGGAAAGCGCCCTGGCTGGGTCGGAGCCGCCCTCGGTGAGAGAGGGGTTACATTTTTTGGGGGGGGGGCTGGGTGGGTGGGTGGCCGAGAGGGGGGGGCAGGCTGCGGTTCCAGCCCTAGCTTCTCCTTCCTTCCCCGTCCCCTTCCCCCTGTGAGTAAACCTGGCTGGAATGGGTGGGTTTCTTTGGAAAGCCACTTACAAACCTTAAGTCAACTGTGCCAGACCAACAATCAAATCAAATCAAATAAAAAAATAATAATCTGCCATTCGCAGGTAAGCAGGTGAGCCCACGGGTGGGAGCCAGTGGGTCTGGCTGGCAGGGAAGAAGCAGCTGCTTTGAAATCTGGATTTCCCCATTGCTTCTGCTTCTCTGGATCTGCCACCACCATCCCTGGAGCCCTGACTCTTGAGGAATCCAGCTGCCTATGAAAGGGTCGATCACCTGTGCAATAAGAGATTTATAGGGGTTCCCCCCCCCCCTTGATTGCAAGCTTCTCTGAATGTTTGGCCCTGTGAATGGAAGGATCCACCCTTAAGGATCTCTTGGAACCCAGAAGTTGCTGAGAGACCTGAAGCAAATTGGTCTCTCGGTCTGATCTAGTGGAAATCTGGGGGAAGGAAGGTGCTCTGTTGGGGTGCTCTAAAAGCATTAACTACAACTCCCATCCTTTCAGCAGCGAGGCGAGTGGCTTTTGTTGTTTGAGGGGGGGGGTGTCCCCTCTGCCATGTGGCCAGTATCCATGTTTGGGATTTGCAGATTTGAAGAGGGGGAAAAATGGAGAGAGGGGCTAGCATCTTTTCAGCTTGATCCCGATTGCTATTTAAAATATTTCCCGACTGTTCCGCTCCTAAATTTCAAAAAGCTGAGCTTAAAGGAAGGATTTCTTTGGCTTTGCCTCCTTCCCTAAACCAGAATTATATTATATAGCTGAATTATATTCCTGTAGAACGTGTGGGGGGGGGGAATTACCGATTATTCTGTGAGACATTTAACTCTATTGGCTTGGATTTGGTTCTAAGTTAACCCTAACCCTAAATCAAGAGCAAAGAGAAAAACAAAAGAAAAAAAAAAATTCAATACGTCATCAAACCACCGCGGTTTTAATTTTACCTGGAGTTGATAGCAAATCTCTGCAGGGAATTTTAAATGAAAAATCTTTTTTTTAAAAAAAAACCCCTGAAACTGCTTGTAAGCTAAAATTGGCTGCACGTGAGTAGAAGGAAGGGGGGGGGGAGAGAAATCAGGATTTATTGCAATTAAAGGCTTAGTTTAGTTAGAAATATTCAGCTGCTTTTCCAGCCTGGTCACACCCCCGGGAGACTTAGATGATGGAAACGATTGGGGTGGTATATAGTCCTCACCTGGTCTGGATGTCCAGTCAAATTGTGAAACTACAGAAAAATAGAGCTAACGTACAAATGTTGGGTAGGTTTTACTTTAATCAGAGAAAAAAATTGTTCCGTGTCTGAGAAGGGAAACGGAGTCTGGTGAACACTCGGATGGAAGACCACCAGGAAATGAGGCTATAATGGAGAATCTGGAAAAACAAACAAACCCAGAAACAGACATTTTATTTACTTACGGATATTTCAAAAAAGAAATTAGGAGTTAATCTCTGGCTAGTGTCTTCTGTACACCTTTCCATGCTCAAGCAAAATCATGCATGTTTTTAATGTTTGTATTATTCGATTCCTTGGCTATTAAACCATACACATAAGACGGAAAATTGCCCAACAGCAAATTTATGTCTGTGGAGAGTCTCAAATCATCTAGTGTCTTGGATAAGAAGTGGAATGTTTTCAAGGAGAAAAAAAGGAAAAGGAAAAGAAAGGGAAAAAGAAAGAAAGAAAGAAAGAAAGAAAAGAGAAAGAAAAAAAGAAAGAAAAAGAAAGAAAGAGAAAGAAAGAAAGAAAGAAAAAGTGTCAAAACAAGAACATTAAATCCTAATCCAATCCTAATTGGAACCATGACGAAAGAAAGCAAGAAAGAAAGAAAGAAAGAAAGAAAGAAAGAAAGAAAGAAAGAAAGAAAGAAAGAAATCCAGGGATTAACAAATTTAGTTGGCCATACAGGTAAAATTTGAGCTTTCAGTTCATTTAGTGACCATTCAAAATTACAACAACACTGAAAAAAGTGACTTACGAATATTTTTCACATTTATGACCGTTTCAGCGTCCCCATGGTCACCTAATCACAATTCAGACACTTATCAACTGACTCATATTTATAACCGTCGTGATCCTCTTTTGAGACCTTCTGACAACCAAATTCAATGGGGAAGTCAGATTCGTTTCACAACCGTGTTGCTAATTTAAACAACTGCAGCGAATCCCTTACTGATTGGGGCAAAACTTACTTAACCGCCGTCTCGCTTAGCAATGGAAATTTTGGCCTCAACCGTCATAAGTCAAGGATTTCCTGTAGACGGGAACAGAGCATAGGCGGGTTTTTCCCCGGTTCAAGGCTGCCTCTGGAACCTTGGAAAGTCAGATTATAAATTGGCAATCAAGGCAGGTTGTAAAAGACAGGTGTGGGGAAGATTAGGATCCGGAGTGGGAGGGGAAAAAATGAAAATTTGGTGGTGGGGGGCTTCAGCATGGATCAGGATGAAGACAGAAAAATAGGAATTCACACCTCCTTCCCAAATATGGAAGGACTGGATTTAAGGCTGAACTACTAGGAACCAGGAAGACGGGAACAGGCGGTCTATAAAAGTGGGAGAAACAAACAAACTTGGGCAACGTGGCAGATGGGCAATTAATAGGAAAGATAAGCCTTGAAAAGGGGCGGGGAAGCTGGTGAGGGGTGGGTTGGAAAGAGGGGGATGTGTGCGAATCACAGCCACATCCCACTAGGACTCCGAGTGCACAATGTTGACAGCAAACATATGGGAACACTTCCACTGTTTTAACCTTCTCCAGAAACCCATGCTTCCTTGTCTGAACTCACAACCAGAAACGGAGATTAAAATCCAGGTTTTCACCGTGATTTGGGGGGAATTGGGTTTTCCTTCCTGACCCTTTGGTGCAGAAATTTAGCTTGCTTGACTGGGGTGCAAAAAGGGGTTACGTGAAGCATTGGGTGTGAACAGGCAGCAAAAAAAAAGTGGGGAACCGTTGTGTGTGCTGAACCTTTACACCTGGGCTGTGTTCCGAGATTGCCCAGGAAGGATCCTGCAGCTATTGTGACCTAATGTGTTTACCAAAAGGGTCTGCGAGGATTCATTTTAATCCTTAATTAACTCAGGTTTCAAAGGTCTCCCCGCTTTAAAAAAAAAAAAAAGGATGTTCTAGGATGAAGGATTTTATTTGTTTATTTACTGGGTCAATGGCCAGCAACATGAAATAATGAAAAGGAGAATAAAAGATAACAAACACAGGAAGGGAGGGAGGGAGGGTGGAAGGAAGGAAAGGAAGGGAGAGAAGAAGGAAGGAAAAAAGGATTGAGGGAAGGAAGGAGGGAAAAAAGAGTAGCAGAATAACAGTTGGAAGGGACCTTGGAGATCTTCTAGTCCATCCCCTTGCTGAAGTGGGAGACCCTATGCCATTTTACACACTTCTTAAAAACCACCAGTGATGGATGGGTGGGAGGGAGGAAGGAAGGAAGGAAAACAGAATAACAGTTGGAAGGGACCTTAGAGGTCTTCTAGTCCAACCCCCTGCTCAAGCGGGAGACCCTACCCCATTCCAGACAATCGACGTTCCAATCCCTTCTTAAAAATTTTACTTGCAAAATAAAATTTGCTGGTTTTCGGCCCTTTGAAGTGGAAACTCTCCTTCATTCCTCTCCAACAGTCTCCTTGGATTTTTAGAGTCAAGGTTGGGCTGGTATAAATTAGACAAAATAGATGAGCAGGGGGGAAAATTTTAGATTTTAGTGTCATTAAAAAATATATGCTTTAAAAGGCGAGCTAGCTGTTGTAGCTTGCAAAGCTCTCTCGGCCTGACACGGATTGTTTTCTTTCGGCTTAGCTGCTCAGCTCAGGCTGCTCAAGCATTTAATTTGATCCTACATGCTTGAAAACCTGTGTGTGTGTGTGTTTGTGTGTGTGTGTGTGTGTGTGTGTGTGTGAGTCTCTTTTTATGGTCATGAGTGATTGCAATTGCCACCTTACTTATCTTAATTAGAGCAATTAGTGGAATGACTTGCCTCCATAGGCTTTGGGTGCTCCGACTCTTGGAGATTTTCAAGAAGAGATTGGACAGCCATTTGTCTGAAAATGGTACATGGTTTCCTGCTTGAGCAGGGGGTTGGACTAGATGACCTCCAAGATCCCTTCCAACTACTACTACTACTACTACTACTACTACTACTACTACTACTTCTTCTTCTTCTTCTTCTTCTTCTTATTATTATTATTATTATTATTATTATTATTATTATTATTATTATTATTATTATTATGACTTCCAAGGTCCCTTCCAACTCTGCTATTCTGCTATTCATTTTTCCCTTCCTTCCTTCCTTCCCTCTCATTTTCCTTCCTCTCTCCTTCCCACTTCTTTCCTTTCCTCCCTCTCCTTCCTTCCTTCCTCTCCTTCCTTCCTTCCTTCCTTCCTTCCTTCCTTCCTTCCTTCCTTCCTTCCTTCCTTCCTGTATTTCTTATCTTTTATTCTCCTTTTTATTATTTCATGTTGCTGGCTATTGACCAACTAAATAAATAAATAAAATCCTTCATCGTGGAACGTCCATTTTGCTTTTGAACTGGGGTGGGAGGTGGTGCACTCACCAACACAATGCACCTGCTGTTTGCGTCGGCGGTGGCTTCCTCTTGGCACCGGCTACCTCTCGACCGGAGGCTTAAGGTTGACACGCTTACATTTTTGTAAAACAAATAAATATTTTCTCTTTGCTCAGCTTTAGCGCTCGGCATTCCTGTGGTTTTCAAATTTTGCCTGCATGAAGGCGGATTTTTTTTTTCTCCCCCTCAGTTTCGGTTCAATGTCAGGAAAGCACAATCAAAGAGTCACGGTCCTTCTGTTGTGTTTGGCAGATGTGTAAAAAAGCTAGAAAGCCCCAATAAAGGAGAATATCTGTTAGCTCGGGGTTGAGATGAGGGCTCCTTGTTGCTCTCTTAGCTGGGTGGTTTTCTTGCAGACGTTTCATGACCCAACTAGGTAACATCACCAGTGCTGCAAGGGTTTTGCTGCAAATGCCCCTTCTAGCATTGATGATACCTAGCTGGGTCATGAAATGTCTGCAAGAAAACCACCCAGCTCAGAGAACATCAAGGACCCCATAGTCTTCCTCCTCCTCCTCCTCCTCCTCCTCCTCCTCCTCCTCCTCCCCCCCACAAACCCCATTTTTGTTTAGCGCTGATATTACCTAATTGGGTCAAGAAACATCTACAAGAAAACAACTACACTCACAAGCACCCCACAGTCGTCGTCCTCCTCCTTCTCCATCGTCCCCATTTCCTTCTAGCACTGATGATGTTACCTAGTTGGGTCATGAAACGTCTGCAAGAAAACCACCAAGCTCAGAGAGCACCAAGGACCCCACAGTCGTTGTCCTCCTCCTCCTCCTCCTCCCTTCTAGCACTGATGATGTTACATAGTTGGGTCGTGGGACGTCTCCAAGGAAATCAAGCTCAGAGCACCAAGGGTCCCACAGTTGTCTTCCTCCTCCTCTTCTCCTCTTCCTCTTCCTCCTCCTCCTCCTCCTCTTCCATTCTAGCACTGATGATGTTACCTAGTTGGGTCATGAAACATCTGTAAGAAAACCACCAAGCTCAGAGAGCACCAAGGACCCCACAGTCGTCGTCCTCCTTCTCCTCTCTGCAAACTCACTCCCTTCTAGCCCTGATCACGCTGTCTAATTGGGTAATTAGAACCAAGCTCACACAGCAGCAAGGACCCCTCAAAGTCGAAGGTGTTGGGTTCAAATCTGCAGACTGATGCCAAGAATTTTAAATACTCCATTGAAGGCAGAACTCTTCTGGCTGGGATTAACGGATAGACAATTTGAAAAAATGTATGGATGGCTGGTTTTTTTTTATATAGTCGTTTCAGAGAGGCAATTTGGCAATTTTAAGGTATGTGGACGTCAACTCCCAGAATTCCCCTGCCAGGAGGATTCTGGGAGTTGAAGTCCACCATCTCCCAGCTGCCAAGGTGGAGAGAGAGAGAAGGGAGAATATCAAAGTATTTATAACTGCCATAAAGAAAATTGGAAGCCACTTCAGGATATCTTTATAACATAGCTTCATTATAAACCCTAATCTTTGACACTTTTGGACTGGCCGGGTTTCTGTTGGTTCAAGGTGTGGATTAATTATTTGCAAGGTAGTTATGTTGCCTCTGGCTTGGAGGCCTCATTAAATAGCCAGTAAATCTATTTTTTTTTCCTGTGGTCAGAAAGCTTCTCTCCTCCATTTTGACTTCCTGCCCACCTTGACAGTTAATATTTTCTAAAGATACTTTCAGGTATGTGTGTGTGTGTGTGTGTTTAAAGTTGGTCAGATGCAAAATTAAAACCCAGATTCTCCTTTCTTGCTTGGATTTTCCCCGAGGGCATTTTGACATAAATCCACCTTTCAACGGTGATGTGTCTTGGGTTTTTAAGGTACTTTTTTCCCTCTCTTTCGGGCAACTTCTCCTATCTCAGCCTTCCTTCCCTGTAACTCTACAAGACAGTGTCTATTGATCCAGTTCAGGTAGGCACTCAAAGAGGAAACGAAGTGGGTGGCTGTAAAACTGGTTTGCTGAGTGTCCTAAACTGAAAACGTTGCTTGGCATGAGGAAGTGTTTGGATCATACCACGTGAAATGATGGAATGTGTTTTGCTCGAGACATCTAGAAAAGTTGCTAGGCTTAGAAAATACTATCGGGTTGATTATGTTTTGCTTACTTCGCTTGTTGATTTGTTTCACATCCAACATTAGCGATTAACCAGGAAGACTGATGTGAGTCACTTGTTTTGCGAGATGGGCAGGTAATATAAATTGAAGAAAGAAAGAAAGAGAGAGAGAGAGAGAGAGAGAGAGAGAGAGAGAGAGAAAAGAAAAAAGATATGGAGAAGGAAAAAAGTAAGGAAGAAAGGCAGGAAAAAGGAAAAGGAAGGATAGAGAAGGAAAAAAAGGAAGGAAGGAAAAGAAAGAAAAGGGTGGAAAGGAAAAGGGAGGAAGAAAAAGAAAAAACAGAAAAAACAGTACATGTACTCTAGTAGTGATTTATGACTGGTCCTCACACTTATGACTGGTCCTCACACTTATGACCATTGCAGATCCCCAGAGTCACATGACCCAAATTCAGGTCCTTGGCATGGCAGGTGTTTATGATGGTTGCCATGTCCCGGGCGCATATGATTGCCATTTGTGACTTTCCCAGCCAGCTTTTGAGAAAAAAACAAGAATCCTCAAGAATCATTTAATACTCATGTGCGTCACTTAACAACTTCACTGATTTGCCAAACAACTAGGGCCAAAAAGATTGTAAAATTGGGCGGGTTCTTATTCACCTAATAACCTCATTGCTTAATGGCAGATGTTCCAGTCCCAATTTTGACCAAAAGTCAAGGATTACCCCTAATATATCTTGCTATAGATAGGACTTGAGCTGTGTCTCCCGGCTTAGATCTCTCTTGTGAGAAACAGGATGTCCTATAAACGATTCAGTCTCGCTTGTTTTGAGGTCCTGACAATAGCAACGAAAATAAATGGAATTTATACTATTCTCCTCAAATGGAATTTATACTATTCTCCTCATGAACTTCGCCCATCTACCCATTCTAAAAAATTAATATCAGGTGTTTTGCTTCTCAGGACCGTCGTAATATTTGCCTCGTGCGAATCCATATGGTGCCTCCAGGCCATCAAATTTGGCAACCCCACAGGAGCCTGAAACGCGGGAAGGATGGACAGGGTGCATGAGGGATCTACTCTCACAAACATGGGATCCCTGTGATTAAAAAGAGATCTTTTGACCTTTCTCTCTTCTTCCACCTGGCCAAACAGGAGGACTCAAATGGCTTCAGAGATGGAAAATTGACCCATCCCAACATTGCAAAGCTGGACCAGAACAAAGCGGGACCGGTCCTTGGATGCGCCGAGGAACGCTGTGGCTTCTACACCTCGTCAGAGAACATGGAGTTGTGTGTTCACACTGAAGATGATCCAGACAAGGAAGGTCTGGGGCTAAGGATGATGGGTGAGGAGACCAAGAAAGTAGGCATCAATGGAGGAGACACCTCGGAGGTGCCGGAAGCCGATTCCAGACCCAGTTCAGGTACATCTACATTCAGACAATGCAGATCCTAACATTTTCATTTTCAGTTCTGTCCTCCTTGGATGTCTGCCTTTGTCTTCCCTAACCAGGGTTTGTGTAAACCAGGGTCTGTTGAACCATTCCAAAATCTCTGACAGGTCAGTGAAATAATCATGGCATTTTATTCATCTCTGGCCCAGCAAGCCATGGTTAATGCAAGCTAAGATATGTCAGCCAACTGTGAACCACAATCTATCACAGGGATTTGTAGTTTAAGTTTAAGTACAAGACAAATCCTAGTTTGTGGCTGAATCCACAGGTTGGTTAGCGATTCAAGGTTTCAGTCGCTCATCCTACGCAGCTAGTACATTTAATCAGCATGTGCAAACTGGGGGTGATGGGTACTGTAGTCTGACAGATCCAGTCAGTCTTGGAGAAAATTGAGCAGAAAAACCACCACCCTCCCCTGTTTTTGTCTGGTATTTGGCATTTGGGATAGGCTGCTCCTATCCATTGAGGTTCTATTGTGATAGAAACATAGAAAACAGTTGGCAGAAAAAAACAGACTCATATTTATGACGGCTGCAGTGTCCCCGGGTCACACTCACTTCACCAATGTCTCGCTTAGCGACAGAAATTTGGGGGGCTCAGTTGTGGCTGTAAATCGAGGACTACTTGGATTTGGCAGCCCAGCCTGTTGTAACCGGGGGGCTCTTGCACATTTCAGGGTTTTACGAAACCAGCGACATGGGTTCCCTCTCGGATTCATGCGCCTCGGTGCACAGCGACGGACCTGGGGCCTCGCGATGTAGCATCGGATCCCTCCCTCACCTCCCCGGATTGCGCGAGAACGGCTTAATCCGGCCACGGTCGACGGACGAGGCGGCCGTCCGGCTCCTTGACCTCCGATTGCAGCGCCTGACCTTGGCAAACATCGCCGGGACCGACAACCGACGTCCGGTATCCACCGGTAAGGCCACATTCCTTGTGCGGGGAGGGTGACTTGGGTGGTCTCCCGCCCGTACGAGAGAGCAGCATGAATAGGAACACACAGTGCGAGAGTCTGTGGTCGAACGGTGATGGCTGCAGAGCACGGAGGTCTGGGTTCGAGTCCCGCCTTGCCCATAGAAGGTCCCTGGGAGATTTTGAAATCCCCTCCCTTTCAACTCGGCCTGCCTCATAGGGTTTTTACAGGGGGAAAAAAGACACTAGGAGGATGTGTTAACGTTTGCCAGCCTTTAGCTTTGGAATGAAGTATTTAATATAAACTGAATAAATAAATCGATCCTGCCCTGCATTTATCATTCTGAGCCTCTCCTTGATGTGAAGCAAAGAAAGTTTCTAGTCCTCAGCATCCTTGGAACAGCCACAGTCAAGAGGAGGTACTGAATTTGAGAATGAAACTGCTCTTAAGAGGCCGGTTTTCGAAAGTCTTACAAACAGGCCTGTAAGGTAGCCCATGCTATGAATGACAGTGAACTTTTGGCTGATTTCATTGGCTGACTCCTGCCTGGCTTCAACTCCCAGAATTCCCCAGCCAGCATGCTTTAAGAGGGGTGAATTTCAACTCCCAGAATCCCCCAGCCAGCATGCTTTAAGAGGGGTGGACTTCCACTCCCAGAATCCTCCAGCCAGCATGCTTTAAGAGGGGTGGATTTCAACTCCCAGAATCCCCCAGCCAGCATGCTTTAAGAGGGGTGGATTTCAACTCCCAGAATCCCCCAGCCAGCATGCTTTAAGAGGGGTGGACTCCCAGAATTCCCCAGCCAGCATACCTTAAGATGGATAGACTTCAACTCAGAGAATTCTGGGAGTTGAAGACCACTCATCTTAAAGTTGCCAACGTTGAGAAACACTGCGGTAGGGTTTGTGTAACAAGCCATGATTAGATTTACCTGAAGCAGCTCAGGAGCTATCTGGCCGAGCTGGACCCGGATCTCTGATGGTGAGTATTTCTCTTGTCATTCTTAGCATGGACTACCTCACAGGGCTGTTGTAAAAGCATCCTAAAACCAGCCTCCAAAGAGAAGCTTCATTCTCAATTTCAGTCCCTCTTCTAGTCTGTGAATATTTCAAGGATACTGGGAGCAGCAAGTTAGTCGATCTTTTGAATACTTTATGCCAAAGCTAAAGGAAGCAAGTGTTAATAAACACATCCTCCTGGTCTTTTGGTGTGTGTGTGTGTGTGTGTGTCCTTTGGGGTACTTGGTGCCTTCTCCATCTTCTAGACAGTCAGATTGGATTCAACACCCCCCCTCCAAATGAGTAAAACTGGAACGCACTCCCCAAGCAGTCGATCCAGGAAATCAATCCAAATGAGATCAGGCACCAGAGTTTAATTGTATTTTTTGCTTTGAGGCAGCTTGCCCTGTTCCAACCTGTTTGTTTACGCAGACTTGCCTCCGTTTTATGGTCCCCTCAAGGCAACCTACAAAATACCCCACCTAATTACGGCTTAAAAACAAAACCCTCAGCACGTCATTCAGTCTGAAGTCGTTTCCAGGTGGACGCTGGTGGGGGGTGCCTAGGGTTTGTGCTTTTGCACTGCGCGACCCCGGGATGTTGCAACCGTCATAAAGATGAGTCAGTTAATATGCCTCTGAATTTGGATCACGTGACCGTGGGGGTGCTTGCAACGGTTGTCGAAATACAGTCACAAGCCACTTTTTTCCGGTGCCGTTGTAACTTCAAACCCTCACTCCACGAACCATTGTAAGTAGAGGACTACCTGTAGGAAGGTCTTCTAAGTGGATACTCAGATGTCCCCGTCCTGGTCTATAATTCTAGAATTCAAAACTCTTATTTGGGTGCTACCGATTCTCCATTTGTTTCATTAAAAATATCTTCAGAAACAAATCTGAAGCGATGATGAAGAATCGGACAGACACTCGGAAGCAGTCCTAGATACTTGGCCAAATTCTTGCGCAGAATTGTAGATTCCTGTACCTCACAAGTTCTTTTTCATTGTGTCTCTTGGGACAGGTGACCTTGAGTTCCTGTTGGGCCTTGGGTCCCTGCCCCTCCCGAGGCCTCCGAATTTTCAGCTTCTACGGTACAAATCTGACCTAGTCTCCCGAAACACCAACGAAGTCTACCACTACCCCAGCCCTCTGCACGCCGTAGCCTTACAGAGTCCTCTCTTCACCAATGGACTCTCTCAAAGTTCGTCCCAGGAAGATCTTGACGAGACGCCCACAAAGGTTCCCCGATCCGACTCTCCCAAGAAAGACCCCCACTGCTCCAGAGAACTGCCGAGGGTCCGCTTGGACCAATACATGGCGAAGTTAGTGCTGCGTTATAAGTGCCGCACAGCGGCAAGTCGTACCGAATCCGGATACCTCGTGGGGAATCAGAAGAGTTTATCCATGACGTCTATCTGTAGCTCTGGACAGGTGGCCGGTCAAGTCCTCGGTCCGATTCCAGGATGGAAGATTCGACGGCGCATCTCCACCTGCTCTCACTTGCGTTCTCCAGAAGGTTCAGACGGAGCACGAGATTCCCGGGTCCTGGATGGGTTGTGGGACTTCCCGCCGTTCCCAGAGATCAGCTCGTTTCAGTCAAGTACAGCCAACCTTGTTAAACCGAGCGAGTCGTCTGTGACTTCCCTCTCTTCGCCCCAGGATCCTTCGGTCAAATTCGTCCTGAACAAGCAATCGGCCACGCCGGATCGAAAAATTTGGGCCGCAGGGCCCCAGCAACAGATAACCAAGACAGAGACCGCTTTCAGAAAAGAGGCCTCTTTGCCCCGGGCCACGATAAATGTTGACAAGCTATACAAAGGCAAACACGCTTCGCGGGAATTGGTGAAAACTCCGGAGAAAGGAGAGAAAGCAGCCGAGAGAAGCTGGTTGAGTCCCCGCGAATTGCTGCGCAGATTAAGTCTCCGGCGCAAACCGTCGTCCCGCCCAGTAGGCAGGGCCCGAGCCAGTTCGGAAATGAACGTTCACGCAGCCGCCGGGCTGGTGTGTGCCAGCCAACTTCAAACCAACCGAGGCAAGGCCATCAAGCCAAAATGGACGTCGGTCCTGGAAATTTCCAGCAAGTCCTCCGGACGGCATCGTGCCAAAGCGGGGACGTTCCTTCCGCCGGTGATTTTGAACCGCAACCTTGCCTTTTCCTCCGACGCTCCGGCAACTTTCTGCTTCCCGGAGGACAGCCATTTTGACCTGCCACCTCGGCAGCGGGCCAGACGTCCCGGCAATGGATGCAGGCTGAGCGAGGTGGAAGCGACCAGCGCTGTCAGCCTGAACGGGGACTGGATGTTCCACCACCAACGTGGAGACCGATGGCTGCACGGCTCCGCCACTTTGGATTCGTCCGATTTGCCCCCTCACAACTTTAAGCTTCGACGCAGCCGTTCTTTCAAAGAGCTGAAAAAGATGGTGTCTCGCTCCTTCAAGAGTTCCCGAACTGCCAAATACTAGAGGAAAAAAAAAAAACCCAGACAATCATTTGGGGACGTGGCGTGAAAGAGGAATTCGCTTCTGAACGCGTTGGGGGTTCGGTTTTTGTCGCGTTCGTATTGCAAAAGTTTCTCTTAAGTTTGGATGACGAGACGGCCTCCGGCACGTGGGCATCCTTCCACATTGCAGTGTCCTGAACTTGGCTAAGGATGTCTTGAATTCAAATGTAAACCTCTCGAACCGTAGGACACTCACGGGCCCGAAACGCAAACCAAAGCTGAACTTGAACTCAAGATCTCTGTCAAAAGCCCTGAGGTGTTTTCTATCTGCTGCTGCTGCTGCTGCTTCTCCTCGTTCTGAACTGGCTTTTTAAATTTTGCCGCGGGAGCATGGAAAGGGGTCAAAAAAACGTCGCTTTGGTTGAAGTCTGCTTCTGATCTTGGAGTGGTTTTGATATCAGGGACCAAAAGACAAAAAATGTGTAGTTCTTTATTGTTTGCCACAGGGGGATCCACGCTAGGTAATCTATGCCGCATCAGTGAATGCCAGGTGTTGTTTTTGGGTTGTTAATGGACAATAAAACCAAAAAGATGGTGAGTTTCCAAGAACCGTGGGTAGATAGGAGAGCCTGTTTGTATTATACTATCCCCCTTCCTCCAAATCAGCTGGATTTGAAGCTAGTTCCGAGCCAGCACAATCTTCTATTACAGGTATTTATGACGACAACCCAGCCTGAAATTTCCGTTGCTAAGCAAGGCAGTTGTTAAGCGAACTTTGCCCATTTTACGCCCGCTCTAGCCACGGTTATTAAGCGAATCTCTGCAGTTGTAGGTCACAAAAGGGGATCACATGATCCCCGGCACGCTGCGACCGTCGTAAATATGAGTCAGTTGCCCCATTTTGATCACCGGGAGGTTGCCATGGACGCAAGTGTGAAAAACGATCGCGTCCCTTTTTTCAGTGCCGTTTGCAACTTGGAACAGTCACTAAATGACCTGTTGTGAGTGGAGGACTGCCTGCAAGTAAGGATTTACTTAACAACTGCCTCGCTTAACGACAGAAATTTCAGGCTGAATTCTGGTCATAAGCTGAGAGCTATCTGCGTTTCCAATTCTTACAAACCCATGGCTTTTTAATGGCCAAAATGGAGCCGTGTCTATTTCCACATCCATAACCCATTGTGGTTTATTTCCCCAAACCATAACGAAATACTGGTTTGGGGCTGATCCCAGTTTTAACTGGATTTGAGCAGGCCACCCTGAAATTATCTGATGTGGGGTCAACCGAAGACACGTTTCTGAGCCTCAGCTGGCAACTACCCCCCTCTTTGGATTATGGCTCCCATCCTCCTCAACAGGGAGGAACAGGGCTGGCTGGGGATGATGGGGTTGTCACTGCAGCCAAAGAAGGATTTGGTAGCCGATGGGAGAATGGCTTCACTCTTCCGTTCAGTTTGCCGTGGGGCAAAAAGAGCCGTTTTCAGGGACCCCAAAGGAGACGGCGTGATTTCTGTAATTAAAATGTATGTGCCACACAGTCCGTGCCACGACCTTGGATTTTCTCCTCCCCCCCCCCCAGCTATGCAATTTTGCACAACTGGTACCTGTTACTTCTCTTCTCTTTTCTTTTTTCTTCCAAGAGTATAAAAGGCTCCACCAATTGCTGTTTACATCGAGATTCGATTCCTTGGCACCACGTTGCAAATGACTGTAATTATCAAGGCTGGGAGACAGCAAGGAGCATGCCAGCAAGTTGGAGCTTGCTTGGCGAAGAGTCGGTCCTTAAACCTGTTTTATTTTCCTGGGCCAGAAACGCTGCTTCGACAACTTTGCAGCCTAACCCAACCGTTTAAAAAACAAAAAAAATTGGCAATCGTTTTTTTTATTGAATTGACATAGATGAACTTAACTGGATGAAACATGATTTGAATTCCTTTTTTTTTTTTTTGCAAAATATTCAAGATATTTTATACATCTCGCATATATAAACATCTGAAATATCCCTTCTTTTATTTCTCTCTCTCTCTCTCTCTCTCTCTCTCTCTCTCTCTCTCTCTCTCTCTCTCTCTCTCTCTCTCTCTCTCTCAAGTTTCTAGCCCTCGTGATATGTGTTTTACAGGAGGTCCTTGACTGAACGACCGTAACGGACCCCCCCAATTTCCGTTGGTAAGCAAGACGGTGGTCAGGTATAGAATTAGAGGTTATTCTCAGCTTACGACCACAGTGGGGCCCAAAATTTGTTGCTAGGTGACCTTTTTAAGTTGAGTTTTGCCTCGTTTTGTGACCTTTCTTGCTGCAGTTGTTTAGTCACACGGTCGTTAAATGAATCTGGCTTCCCCCATTGACTTCGCTTGCCAGACGGTCGCAAAAGGGGATCACGTGACACCCCCCCCCAGGGACAGTGCGACCGTCATAAGTATGAGTCAGTTGTTAAGCATCTGAATTTTGATCACGTCACATGGGGATGCTGCGACGGTCGTAAGAGTGAAAAACAGTCACAAGTCCCTTTTTCCAGGGCTGTTGTAACTCTGAACGGTCCCTAAACGAACGGTTGTTAAGCCGAGGACTCCTTCCGCTGTTGGTAAAGGCGGTGACAGTTTTCCCACCTGGAAAAATTGGCTCTCTCATCCACCGCAATGGAGCCAGCTGTGAATTTTAATAGCTCTGAGCCAAATTATTTTGGGGTAGTTGAGTGTGAGATTTATTTGGCAGTCGCCGCCGACAACTTTTGTGGTGGTGGAAGGCTCAGCAGCCGGCAATTGAGGCAGCTGCCAAAGACGTGGTGGTGATTTTAGCCGGCACTAATAAGAATTAAGATTTTAGATGCTCCGTTCGTGCTGAATTTTACGTGCCGCATTCATGGAGATTAGGAGAGCATTTGAGCCACAGTATGCTTAACTCTCTGGGGAGAGTCCTATCTTTGTAGGGGAGAAGGAAACTGATAACATGGCCTCTCTGTCCAGACAGCACTAATCCAGAAGCAAACAAACCATCTTACGGCTTATTGCAATGGGTAAACTTGAGTCACGCGCGGTGTCCTTGGCCGAACAAGCTGGCTGTGTCTGGGCTTCGTTCCGTGTGATGCAATCCGAAATGAGCTTTTAGGTGGTCCTCAACTCCTCACAACTGGGACTGGAACCTCCGTCACTAATGGAGCCGTGCCCGGTTGCAGTTTATTGAACAAACCATGTTTAAACTACATACGGGTAGTCCTTGACTTACGACCTCAAATTGAGCCCAGAATTGATGTTGCTAAGCGAGACATCGGTTAAGGGAGTTTTGCCCCGTTTACAATCTTTCTTGCAACTGTTGTGAAGTGAATCTGGTTATAATAACACGGTTGTTAAGTGAATCCGGCTTCCCCATGGACTTTGCTGGTCAGGTCGTAAAAGGGGGATCACATGACACCCCCCCCAGGGACGCTGCAACCGTCATAAATACGAGTCAGTTTGCCAAGCATCTGAATTTTGATCACCTGACCCCGGGGGAAGCTGCAACGGTTGTGTTGAGAAAGTGTCCTAAATCGCTTTTTTCACTGCCGTCGTTCACTTCAAACAGTCACTAAACGGACTGTCATAAGTTGAGGACTATCTGCATTGCGAATTGGCCAGCACGCGGTCAGTAAAAAGGGGGGGGGCTCTTCTGTTTTGACTCAAAGCAATTGGGCTTTTATTCATCCATGATAGCCGGGAGACAAACCCATGGCGGTTAACAGGCAAATGCTCTCGCCGTAAGGACTAGCAACTTGATTTTCTTAAGCAGAAACGGAAACAAAAGATTCCCAAGACGACAAAGTCTTGTGTAGTTTTGGACTTTCTGCCCTCCCCTCCCCCAAAATGTACATTCCAGAGGCTCATAAGGGATTTTGACCTTCCGTGAGCACAAAGAACTGAACCAAAAAAAAAACAATAACCCACCATATTTTTATTTGCAAAGGATAAAGGCAGAAAAAACAGCTGGGAAACTCAAACAGCCCTGTTTCCCAGCTGCTGACAAGGAGAAAATATTTGCTCCCAAGTTAAGGGTGGAGGCCAGCTTTGCACGCCAAGAAGGAAGGATGTTTGCTGGCAAGAAGAGATCTGGTTTTATTATTAAAAAACATCTGCAAGGAAACATCTGCAAGGTCAGAGAGTATGAAGGACTCCACATTCGTCCTACTCCTCTCCACAATCCCCACTTCCCTTCTGGCACTGATGATGTTCCCTAGTTGGGTCGTGAAATGTCTGCAAGAAAACCTCCAAGCTCAGAGAGCACCAAGGACTCACATTCTTCTTTCTTTCTTTCTTTTCTTTCTTTCTTTCTTTCTTTCTCTTCCTTCCTTCCTTTTCTCCTCCTCCTCCTTCTCCACCACCTCCATAATCCCCATTCCCTTCTAGCACTGGTGATGTTCCCTAGTTGGGTCATGAAACCTCTGCAAGAAAACCACCAAGCTCAGAGAGCATCAAGGACTCACATTCTTCTTTCTTTTTCTTTCTTTCTTTTTCTCTTTCTTTTTCTTTCTTCCTTCCTTCCTTCCTTCCTTTTCTCCTCCTCCTTTTTCTCCTCCTCCTCCTTCTCCACCACCTCCATAATCCCCATTCCCTTCTAGCACTGGTGATGTTCCCTAGTTGGGTCATGAAACGTCTGCAAGAAAACCACCAAGCTCAGAGAGCATCAAGGACTCACATTCTTCTTTTTCTTTCTTTCTTTTTCTCTTTCTTTCTTTTTCTTTCTTCCTTCCTTCCTTCCTTCCTTTTCTCCTCCTCCTCCTTCTCCACCACCTCCATAATCCCCATTCCCTTCTAGCACTGGTGATGTTCCCTAGTTGGGTCATGAAACCTCTGCAAGAAAACCACCAACCTCAGAGAGCATCAAGGGCTCCTCACTTCAATCCTGAACTACAAAGATTCCCCTTTATTAATGTCAGGTTCTGCTGCTATATGAACCTAGATCAACCTTTTAAGCAAACCACAAAGCTCTTTAAGAGGACACATTTTGAGTATTTTTACTTCGTTGGCCAAGGTAGATCGATCCAAACTGCCCCAGCAACTAACAGAGTCCATATTCAGATGCGTGCAAAGCCTGATTTGCTTGCTTCGGGCTTTGCCTGTTTCGTTGAAAATAATCTCCATTTCCATAAGATTGCATTTAAGTGACGAGCGATCCTAGGCTACGATTTAAAACTCTTTCCCCCTCTGGAGACAGGCAAACAAAACAGATTCGCAAGGAATTCAGATTTCAGCATTTGGTTTCCCCTGAATTCAAAGAAATCACATCCAGCCAAGTGAACTTCTTAAAAGATTTTATGAACAAACGTGGGGAGGGAAGAAGGAAACGAATAAGGAGGATAATTTGCTGAAGACGCTTTTCCTAGATGGATTGGCTATTTTGCATTTTTCAAGGCACTACCTCACTCCAAAATTGATCAACCGCGTGTCGTTCAGCACACACAAAAAATATAGAAATGATGGTTAGCAGCCTCCGGGGATTTCCAGCGACGGCTTGTTTTTGCTACCCAAACATCCCCATGTATAACTGTTTCTCTTTCTGAAGATAGCTGCTGAGCTGTGATTCGGTCAACTGCAGATAACGCTTGACGTTGGCATCTGGGGAGATAAGACGGGAAAGAGAAAAGTTTTTAAAAAGTTAAAATGTGCAAGATTTGCTCGTATGGAGTTCTAAGTCAGACCAGATTATCAGCTCTCTGACCTTGGTGGTTTTCTTGCAGATGTTTCATGACCCAACTAAGGAACATCGACAGTGTTTAGAAGGAAGTGGGGGATGCGAGGAGGAGGTGGAGGAGAACTGTGGGATCCTTGGTGCTCTCTGAGCTGGGTGGTTTACTTGCAGACGTTTCATGACCCAGCTAGGTAACATCATCAGTGGGAGGAGGAGGAGGAGGAAAAGGACAGTGGGGTCCTTGGTGCTCTCTGAGCTGGGTGGTTTACTTGCAGACGTTTCAAGACCCAGCTAGGTAACATCATCAGTGCTAGAAGGGAGGAGGAGGACTGTGGGGTCCTTGGTGCTCTCTGAGCTGGGTGGTTTTCTTACAGACGTTTCAAGACCCAACTAGGTAACATCACCAATGCTAGAAAGGAATGGGGTTTGCTTGCTTGCAGAGGCAAATCCCTCTCCCTTGTAGCCCTGATGGTGTTACCTACTTGGGTCATGAAATGTCTGCAAGAAGCACACCAAACTCAGAGAGTTCTCTTTCTCCTCTCCATAAATGCCATCGCCCTCTAGCCCTGATGATGTTACCTAGTTGGGTCATGAAATGTCTGCAAGAAACCGTCTCGCTTAGCAACATCCATTTTGGGCTCCACTGCGGTCGTAAGTCAAGGGCTGCCTGTATGACTCACCTTTGGGCTGCCGGCTGGTTGCCGACAACAGATAGTGTTGTGCTTTGTCGTAATCCCCCAGGTGGTAAAAGGCCACACCGGCCCGGTACAGCGCCTTGACGTTGTCGGCTTGCCTCTCTAGGACTTTGAGACTGTAGTCTTTGACCCGCTCGTAATTCACGGGTTGCATCTGAAGGAGGCAAGCTGGAGAGACAGAAGGCTAAAGACACAAGTGTGTCAAGAAAAATCCCGCCCCAAAAAATAATAATGCAAATGAAGAGAGTAGCGTCTTTTTCACCGGAGTGAAAGCTAGACAATTTGACCAAGGTTCATTTTCCAGTTAAAATGCAGGCAGTCCTCGACTTGCGACAGTTGCTTAGCAACCATTCAAAATTAGGACAGCTTGGTTGCAAAGCTGGCCATCACTGCATCGTGTGACTGCATTTCAATCAGCCTGCATTGAGAATATAATATAATATAATATAATATAATATAATATAATAGAATAGAATAGAATAGAATAGAATAGAAAATAGAATAGAATAGAATATAGAATAGAATATAGAATAGAATAGAACAGACAATGCAGAATAGAATAATAGAAAATAGAATAGATAATAGGTTCCCCCTCCCAGTAGACTTATAATTTATGACATTTTTGCCAAAGTGCAATGTTAATTTCTGCTTTTGGGCCAAGACACTGAACAACGGGTTCGCTTAAAACAGCCCGGATGGCTCGTTTAACGACGGCTGCAAAAAAGTTGTAAAATCAGACCTGCTCCCACTTTACGGCCGTCACAACTATAATTGGCAGGCTTGATTATGGCCACAAAAGTAGAACTATCTGCAAAGATCTCTCATGAAAAGTCAAATTGTTATAAAGCAATCTGGTACGGCCTCCCACAGATGCCCCTGTTCAGCACAATGATTTGGGGCATTGTGGAAAATTAAGATGGCAGCTTGATTTATCCTACAGTAGTCCATGACTTACAAGAGTTCATTTAGTAACCATTCAGAGTTTCAGAGGCACTGAAAAAAGGGACTTGTGACCATTTTTCACACTTACTTACAGCATCCCCATGTGGTGACGCGATCAAAATTCAGGCATTTGGCAACTGACTCATATTTATGACGGTCGCAGCGTCCCGGGGTCATTCACGTGATCCCCTTTTGCGACCTTCTGACAAGCAAAGTCCATGGGGGAAGCCAGATCCACTTAACAACCGTGTGACTGACTGACTAAATTCAGCCGCTTGGCAGCTGACTCGTCCTTATGAAGGTTGCAGCCGTAATACAGTGCAGTACAGCGACTGACTTCACAACTGCGGCAAGAAAGGTCGTAAAGCAGGGCAAAGCCCCCTTAACAAATGTCTCACAGAAATTTGGAGCTCAATTGTGATCATAAAGTGAGGACTACCTGTATCACTGCCTGGTTAAGTTTACCCACAGAGGAAGACGCCTCAGAAAAATAAAAATAAAATCTGGCTTACCGGCAAGATTATTGTAGCAATCGCACTGGATGCTATGCAGCTGTTTTTCCTGGTCTGGGGTCACGGTGGGCTTTTCAGCCCCAAATTCCTGCAGGGGAGAAGGCATGCTGGGGTCCAGGCCTTTAATCTGCAGTAAGGCCCAGTGGTAACGGCTCACTGCATCCCTGAAACGGCCGCCTTTGTAACAGCGGTTCCCTTCTTCCTTGAAAATGCTGGCCTGTTGTAGACGTTGCTCCGGGATTGCTTCGGAAGAAACCTGAAGAAGAGAATGAAATAAATTTTAGCTAGTCCTCGACTTACAACAGTTCATTTAGGGACCGTTCAAAGTTACAACAGCTTATTAATGTACTTTTTTACATTTTAGGATATCTTTAAATCAATGACCTTGACAATCATTATAAATATGCGATCATCTTTAATTCTTTCCCCTTACTCTCATACAGTCATTCAGGATGTTTAACCTGAGGACTGGCAGCTTGGAACTACTTATATCCTGCGAGGAGACTTTTAATAGCATCAGACATGCACGTCTGCTTATCCAGGTCCTTGGGAAGGACTGGAGAGGTGGATAAGAAGGCCAAATCCAATTAAACATCTGGCTGACTTTGCAACCAACCATAATAATCATGAGCACCCTTTGAACACTATAGAATAGAACCTAGAAAATAGAATAAAATGTAGTGTGTAGAACATAGAGTAGAATAGAAATATAGAATATAATGTAGAATGTAGAAAATAGAATAGAGTAGAATAGAAATATAGAATATAATAGAATAACGTTGGAATTATCAGCATTGATAAAAAATCACCATTGGTCAATTGCAAAAGGCAGCTTGACTTGGAACAGCTGCCATCCCTGGAGGAATTATTAAACATCTGCTTACTATTAAACATCTGCCTGACCCAGGTCCTTGGGAAGGACTAGATGGGTGGACAAAAATGCCAGATCCAGCCAAACATCTGGTTAACGGTACAATCAACCACAATAACAATCACGAGCACCCGTTTAACACTGTCGGCATTGACAAGATCCCCATCAGTCAATTGCAAAAGGCAGCTTGCCTTGGAACAGCTGCCATCCCACCACAGGACCTTTCATATTATTAAACATCTGTCTCTCCCAAGCCTTTGGAAAGGACTCCACAGCTGGCTGGCCAAACAGGCAAAAATCCAGCCAAACATCTGGCTGGCTGTGCAACCCGCCATAACTATTAATAATAATACCAAAAGTACCAAATTTTGGAGCACACGGAAAGAGGCTGATCAATCTTCCCATTGCACCGAGGGGATGCAAATGCATGCAGCCCATGCAACCTCTGGCTGCATTTGTTTTGTTTTGTTTCTGCTGCACACTGCAAATTGCACCCCTGCTTTTCAAGAAAGCCCCCCCGCCCCCACTCACCCCAACCGTCCCCTTGGCCCCCCAATTTTGAATCGGGGCTCTTCCCTGGCAGGGATGCAAGGAAAAGGAGGAAGGGAACCCCCCCTTTGCCCCCTGCCCGGGGTTGGCTGCCCGGGGTACCTTCGCCGACGCCATGCGAGGCCCGGGAAGAACACCGGCTCGCGCCAAGCAGCCATGCAAAGCGAGATAGCTGCTGCTGCTGCTTCCCCGGGGCTGCCACGCCCCCTTCGGGACCGGAAGCCGAGTGGCCGGCCAAAAAAAACTACCAAAATGGCCAGCGGACGTTGCCACGTGATCCGCTGGATTCCAGCAGATAGGCTGGCGTTTAAGAGTTGGTTTTTTATTATTATTATTATTATTATTATTATTATTATTATTATTATTATTATTATTATTATTATTATTATTATTATTATTATTATTATTATTATTAGGGCAAAGCTATCATGGCTTTTTGCAGGTTTGGATGGGCTGTTTTGGGGAAGCCTTGGTTTGTAAGCTAGGACGTTACTAACCCATAGAAGGTGGCGGTAGGATGATCCGTCTTTTTATTACCTCTTATTTCCCCTTTCTACTGGTTGCACTTTTTTTAGTATTGTTATTGTTGTTGTTTTCTCTGTTTGCATGTACATTGAAAGCTTCTGCATTGGAGACAAATTCCTTGTCTGTCTAATAACACTTGGCCAAATAAAGCTATTTTGTTCCATATTCTACATTCCATTCCATTCTATTCTATATTCAATTCCATTCCATTCTATTCCATTCTATTCTATTCTATATTCCATTCCATTCCATTTTATTCCATATTCTATTCTATTCTATTCTATTCCATATTTTGTATTCTATTCTGTTCTATTCTATTCCATATTTTCTATTCTATTCTATTCTATTCTATTCTATTCCATATTCTACATTCTACATTCTACATTCTATTCTATTCTATTTTCTATTCTACTCTATTCTATTCTATTCATTTTCTATTCTATTCTCTATTTTATTCTATTTTCTACATTCTATACTATATTGTATTCTATTCTATATTCTATATACTATATACTATACTATACAGTGCTTTTTTTGTAAAAAAAAAAAAAAAAAAAAGTGCCGGAACTCACACGTCATACAACCCGCCTTGCCTACCCTACAAGGTTTCATCCAAAAAAGGTGCTGGAACTCCGTTCTGGGCGTTCTATGTGAAAAAAAGCCCTGATACTATATACTATTCTGTTCTGTTATTTTCTATATTCTACATTCTATACTATATTGTATTGTATTCTATATTATATTCTCGATTCTACTTTCTACATTCTATGTTCTATACTATATTCTCGATTCTATTCTATTCAGGACTGTATTTACTTTTTTTCCCCAATTTTTAAATCTATTACCGGACAATATTGGGGTACCCATCATGGGGCATAGATGGAGTAGAGAATTTTTTTGTTCCTTTTTCAGGTCCATGCTACTCAATAACATTTCTGGAAAAGGAGTATAGATGCATCTAGAGGCAAAACCAGATCTGGATCAGACAATGCAGATATTCCTGATTTTCCAACAGCTGAGACAGCAACATGATTTCAAGTGCTTTTATGAGACATCACATTTTATAGAATAAGAGTCGGGCACTAGAGCCATGTCTGAATTTAGGAATATTTTTTGGGATTTGTTCATAAAACATAGAGTGGACTTGATGTCCTATGTTCTTTGCTGTACTATGATTCCAATGTCACATTATTGAATTAAAGAAGCAAGAGGTTCTAGAAAAAAATTAAAAAGGAGAATGTTGGGATGAATATTGATGCGGTTTATTTACAAATCTATAGGTTAACAAAGAAGGAACTTTATTCATAGTTGTTTATGATTGAAAACTGCAAAATATTTTAAGAAGACCCTAAATAAATCAAAACTACCCTGCAAATTGTTCAAAATTATATCCTGGTTTTTTTCTTAGTGTCTGAAAGAAAATATAGCCGCTAAAAAACAAGATAGAATATAGCAATCAAAGTACCTGTTAAAATGGTAGCCTCTATTTTTTTATTACATTTATATTTTTATATTATGCTTGGGATAAACACATGTCCATCATCCGACAAAAAATAAAAAAATAGAAAACCTCAAAGAGCAGATTGCTTTAGAATCAAATACAGTCCACTTTATGGATTGCTAGATCTTTTTCTGCTGTCAGTTTTCTAGGTTTCTATGCTTCTATTAAGTGCCATGCAACACAGTAAAATCAGGATATAAAAACAATTACATAAAAATAGATCTATAGGTGTCTGATGCAAACTACAGTGATATCAAATGTATACGGGACAGGAAGTTATATACATTTGTCAAAGAAATAGGTGCATAACCAAAAGAATAAGAACAGCTGTCATGGTTATATTTGCCTGCATGAAACTGAACTGCAGAGATTTATCTGAAAAAAGCTTCACAAATAGCCAGTAAAATTGGAAATCAAATCCAATTTTCTTTCTGTCTGTTCATCCTTTGGAAAGTCAAGCTTCCCTCCCCAGAGATTTAATTATAGTGAATTTCTTGAGCCAAAATAGAGTAAAGGAGATTTTAGTGACTTTACTGGTTTCCTTAAATTGCATTTTATTGTTTTAGCCAACTCGGACAATACATAGGCAAAGACGTGCATGGTGTACATTAATTTTTAGTTGATAAAAATGAATGGTATACATGAAATGCGCAATTCTCCTTATTTAAGGATTTAAATAAAGGACTGTCCAATTTATTTAGGATTTATTTTTTCCTAAAGATGGCTAGACATTTCCCCCCCCCACCCATTTTGTCAAGCCAGGAGAGCAACATCTTCTCTTTTTACTCGGATTGGTGGAGCGCCAGCCAATCAGAAAAATCGACCAGTCGCCTTACGCCCGCTCAAAATCGACACGACGCAGGGCCTGCGCGCGGCCGCGCGGCCCTCTCTGAAGGCCCGCGCGCGCATGCGCCCCTCTCTCAAGGCCCGCGCGCGCATGCGTCACAGCGATTTAAAAAAAAAAAAAAGCGAGCCAAACCTCTCCTTTCAAAAATAAATAAAATAAATAAAATAAAATAAACTAACACCACAAAACGCAAAAGACTACTCCCGCTGCGCTTGCCTTTCAAGGAAGAGAACGTTATCCTTATTTATTATATTACCGACAGGGAGGAGAGAGAGAAAGGAGAGGAAAAAAAAAAAGAAGCGCCGATCCAAATCCAAAGGTGAAGGAAACGAAACATTTAAAAGTAAATAAATAAATAAAAAGAGCGGGGCTTTCCGCGCATGCGCGGAGGAGACTTCAGGCGCGCGTGCGCGCGGGGCTCCTTTCCCTTGGCGGGCCTTTCCCCCCTCTCTCTCTCTCTCTNGGAGTGAAAGCTAGACAATTTGACCAAGGTTCATTTTCCAGTTAAAATGCAGGCAGTCCTCGACTTGCGACAGTTGCTTAGCAACCATTCAAAATTAGGACAGCTTGGTTGCAAAGCTGGCCATCACTGCATCGTGTGACTGCATTTCAATCAGCCTGCATTGAGAATATAATATAATATAATATAATATAATATAATAGAATAGAATAGAATAGAATAGAATAGAATAGAATAGAATAGAGAATAGAATATAGAATAGAATATAGAATAGAATAGAACAGACAATGCAGAATAGAATAATAGAAAATAGAATAGATAATAGGTTCCCCCTCCTCGTAGACTTATGATTTATGATATTTTTGCCAAAGTGCAATGTTAATTTCTGCTTTTTGGCCAAGACACCTCACACCGAACAACGGGTTCGCTTAAAACAGCCAGGATGGCTCGTTTAACAATGGCTGCAAAAAAGTTGTAAAATCAGACCTGCTCCCACTTTACGGCCATCACAACTATAATTGGCAGGCTTGATTATGGCCACAAAAGTAGAACTGCCTGCAAAGATCTCTCCTGAAAACTCAAAAAGTTATAAGGCAATCTGCTACGGCTTCCCACAGATTCCCCTGGTTCAGCACAATGATCTGGGGCATTGTGGGAAATCAAGATGGCAGCTCGACTTATCCTACAGTAGTCCATGACTTACAAGAGTTCATTTAGTAACTGTTCAAAGTTTCAGCAGCACTGAAAAAAGGGACTTGTGACCGTTTTTCACACTTACTTACAGCATCCCCATGTGGTGACGCGATCAAAATTCAGGCACTTGGCAACTGACTCATATTTATGACAGTCGCAGCGTCCCGGGGTCATTCACGTGATCCCCTTTTGCGACCTTCTGCCAAGCAAAGTCCATGGGGGAAGCCAGATCCACTTAACAGCCGTGTGACTGACTGACTAAATTCAGCCGCTTGGCAACTGACTCGTACTTACGAAGGTTGCAGCCGTAATACAGTGCAGTACAGCGACTGACTTCACAACTGCGGCAAGAAAGGTCGTAAAGCAGGGCAAAGCCCCCTTAACAAATGTCTCACAGAAATTTGGAGCTCAATTGTGGTCATAAAGTGAGGACTACCTGTATCGCTGGCTGGTTAAGTTTAGCCACAGAGGAAGACGCCTCAGAAAAATAAAAATAAAATCTGGCTTACCAGCAAGATTATTGTAGCAATCGCACTGGATGCTATACAGCTGTTTTTCCTGGTCTGGGGTCACGGTGGGCTTTTCAGCCCCAAATTCCTGCAGGGGAGAAGGCATGCTGGGGTCCAGGCCTTTAATCTGCAGTAAGGCCCAGTGGTAACGGCTCACCGCATCCCTGAAACGGCCGCCTTTGTAACAGCGGTTCCCTTCTTCCTTGAAAATGCTGGCCTGTTGTAGACGTTGCTCCGGGATTGCTTCGGAAGAAACCTGAAGAAGAGAATGAAATAAATTTTAGCTAGTCCTCGACTTACAACCGTTCATTTAGGGACCGTTCAAAGTTACAACAGCTTATTAATGTACTTTTTTACATTTTAGGATATCTTTAAATCAATGACCTTGACAATCATTATAAATATGCGATCATCTTTAATTCTTTCCCCTTACTCTCATACAGTCATTCAGGATGTTTAACCTGAGGACTGGCAGCTTGGAACTACTTATATCCTGCGAGGAGACTTTTAATAGCATCAAACATGCACGTCTGCTTATCCAGGTCCTTGGGAAGGACTGGAGAGGTGGATAAGAAGGCCAAATCCAATTAAACATCTGGCTGACTTTGCAACCAACCATAATAATCATGAGCACCCTTTGAACACTATAGAATAGAATAGAACG